ATCTTGAATTTGGCTGAAATTTGAGATCTCGTAGATTTAGGTTTTTTTTGGGCTCTAGCGGCGTCTAGAGATTTGGGAGAGATCGATCCTCCTCTCGAATTGAGGATCAAGTGTATCTTTGCTGTTTTCCTTGATTTTCTAGTGAAATACAAGCATATTATTGTGTTTTTCTTCCCGTTTCCCTATTTTCTGCTGAATTCCTGCTGTTTGGCTGCTGTGGACAGCAGTTTACTGCTGAAATTTTACTGATTTGGGTTAGGAATACTTGCGAACCCAAGTGTTTCCTATCACACGTCTTCTCCGTTCATGGCCCGGCCTCTACCGCGCCCTCAATCCTATACTCCCCGAATCCGCCGCCGCGTCTAACCACGGCCGTCGCCTCTTCGTTGACCTCTTTCCTTTCCTCCGCCTCTCCTTCCTTATCTCCAACCAAGCCATTTTAGAAGCGATGGAAGGGGAGAAAGTCGTCCACGTCATCGACCTCGGCGGCTCTGACCCTTCCCATTAGCTCGGTTTTCTCCCGGCAGTTTCCGGTAGGCCGGAAGGCCCGCCCCACCTCCGCATCACAACCGTCGGGCAATACCGAGCAAATACCGAGTAATCCCGGATTCGTTCCGGGTTGGGTCGTCGGGCCGCGCGGTAAAGAGTAAGAGCACGTGACGATATATTATAGGCTACCTGATGTATCTCTACATCAGGTAACCTGAGGCAATAAAAATTCCTCCTATAGAGTCCAATGTCGGGCATTTACTTCAAGATTTATGTAAGTTTTAATATATATAGCGTGAGGCGTAAGCCTTATGCCAGTGAGGCGAGGCGGGCCTCAAGACGTGCCTCAATCAAGCTGAGGCGCAAGCCTCATTAAAAGAAACTCGAGGCGTAAGCATCGAGGTGTTTTTTATTGGAATTGCGCAAAGGCGGGCCTCAAGGTGAGCCTCATATTATGCAATTTTAAACCATAGGTGTGCTCTTCTAAAATTAACAGTTAGAATAACATGAGGTGCTTATGATTACTTAATAAATATTAAGTGCATTTAATGCAATTTTAGCTGACATGAAATTGAAAATTTTCAGTAAATATTGATGGAAGATCAATTGATATCAATTTGTGTTAATAATATATAGATATAGATAAGGGCATAACTTAAATTAATGCTTGATGATTAAAAAGAGAGTGTTTGATGAGTGTGGAGCAATTAAAGAATATATTGTAGAGTCCAAGGCAAAGTGTTATAAACTACAATTGCACTAAAAAATGCTTTATGAACTTTACGTGTTGCAGTACAAAGAAGTTAGTGGTAGCCAAGCTAAGTGTGGTCGATGTAAATTTGTTTAGATGGATATATGGTGAAACTAGGAATGAAAGAGTAAGAAATATTTTGTTATAGATTCAAAGAATTAACAATTGTAGCACATATTGAATATAGGCTAGTGGATATAGATTTGAGCTGTTTAGACATGTATAGCAGGAGATAGGAGATTAACCAATAAACTAGTTAAAATTTACAATTAGAATGGGAAAATGGGATATATGAGAGGTTAAGATAGCTACAAGTAGTGCATAAGAGCGAGTATACACTATTTAGCACCTCATATATCACTCTACAATAATGAATGCTAAACAGTTCAAAAATTTGACTCAAATACCTAGAATAAAGATGATGAATTGCGTGATGAACCACAATTTCATATAGTTTTAATAGTTACTTATAATGGTGTTGATGCTAATATATGGAGTAATATTGTTTAATGTTGCAGTGTCATGTATACTTCTAGGAATCATAAGTTTATCACCTTTCATGTATTTACATCATTTGTGTATTAGTTATTTTCAAAATATAATGACACTTTATTTACTAATTAAAGATTTTATGGCTCCACAAATAATTAATTTCAATTTAGGAGTAAGAGAATTGTTTATAAAGTAAGATAAATCATTATTTGTTGTATGTTTAACTACTACTTCTATGTAAGTTGAAAACCAATTTCTCTAGTTCCTATTATTTATCCTTAATAGATGTGTTGTGAAAAAAATAAAAAATTTGAGATGAATGTGTGGTGAAATAAGGAAATATAAATTGAGTAATTATTATATTTTAGGGATATTGAAAATAACACTAAAATGGTATTAATCTAACCTTACATGGTTTGGGTAGGCACAAAAGAGGATACAAAATGTATCAATAAAATGACTTGTACAATTAGTGTGGATGTAGTTTGAAAGAAAGTGGGAGTATTATGAAAGAAAAGGTTTACCAATGGTCACATGCCTATAGTTGGCATAAAAACACTCACGATGATGATTAGTGCTAGGAAAGGATTGAATTGAACCGCATAAGACATTGTTTAAGCTCATTCCTTTTTTTGTTGAGCTCAAATTGAGCTTAAACATAATTTGCCTTTAAAAATCTTGTTCAAGCTTATTTATTAGTTTTCAAATGGAGTTTGAACCACAATCTACCATAACTACCTATATGTATGATGCTAATGATTTAAGAAAATAACTTTGTTATATATTCATCAGTTTTTCATCAAAATTAACAATAATTTATTTAACATTATGTCCACTGTCTTATGAATAACAAAATTAGATTTTGATTTATACATCTAGTTAGTTGTTCAGTTTTTTTATTTTCTCATATTCTAAAAAATCAAATTAGATTTTTAATCTATCAATCTAGTATTTGTTTAATATTTTTTTTATCATTAATTATTAAAAATTAACATTATTTTTTTTAAACATTTTTATCATATTCATTCTTATAGTAATATAAATAAATAGTGTAATAAAATTGATATAATAACATAGAATATGCTATCAAATAGCAATTAAATCATCATCAAGTGAGTATTTTATCCAGCTTTTAGCTAGCTACCTGTTGACAACAAAGTCTGATATACATGAATGTAATTGAATAAACAAGTTAATGTTCAAGCTTGTTTATTTATATTTGAAGATTTAATTTTTTAAAAAAATTAAATGAACATAAATGAGCTTTTATGATTGAGTATGAGCTGTTCATGGAGTATGCTACTTCTTGTACAGTCTAAATGATAATCCTCTTTAATCACCCTGTCATTGGATTCTCCTTTGCATGTTTTTCAAAATGATTTCTCATAATATTAGATGTTGCAAAGTGGAAGAGTAGTGAATCCTAGCAGATTGTCAAGACATCTGGCACTGTTTTACTGTTGGTGCCCCTCTCTTCTGTTTTACATTAGTATAAAACCACTGTTGCATTTGCTAGTTTTTCTGAGTTAGAATCTTATTAGATCATTTCGGTTTGCTTGATCTGCAGATGGTAAGGGTTGTAAGAAAAGAATGCCCTCAGGTACCCCTTGTTTTGTATATCAATGGCAATGGTGGTCTACTGGAACGGATGATTGGTACTGGTGTTGATGTCATTGGACTTGACTGGACAGTTGACATGGCAGATGGCAGAAGGAGACTAGGAAACAAAGTCGCTGTGCAAGGGAATGTAGATCCTGCTTATCTTTTCTGTCCACTGCCAGCTTTAACGGATGAAATTCACAGGTGTCACTTTCTTTTGTCCTTTTTTATGTTTTTGTTCGTAAGCATGTTCTAAACACGTATACTAACTGGTTTAATTGTCCAGCATTTTTACAAATATTAGACCATTTCTGATTTCACAGTTATGTTAAACAACTATACAAACACATCCTGGAAACGATTTTTTTTCATATATTTATCTAATTATTTTTTTTCTCAAATTTGTTCTCTCACTGCACAGCTGTCAGATTTGCCACTAAGTTCTTGGGATAAATTGAGTTTTTGTTTTTATATGCACGGTCACTACCTAGGCGAGAATTCAAGTTGGATGCTTGAAGTGGAGGAATGCATTGGACTTGTTGTGTGATGGAAAAGTATCCCTCAAAGTTAAGGGAAATTCTATAAGATGGTGGTGAGATCGGCAATGCTTTATGGCGCAAAATGTTTGCCATTAAAAGAGAAGCATAAAATTAAGTTAAAGTGTTGCAGAGACGAGGATGCTCAGGTGGATGTGTGTCTTTACTCTTAGAGGTAGAATGCGAAACGATTATATACGTGAAAAGGTTGAAGTAGCTCCAATGGCACATACATATTGGCCTTCCAATGAGCCGGTTAGGAAGTAGATGTATTAGATTTAGCTTATGTTAATAATGGTAGAAATAGACCTAAAAAAACTTGGTTAGAAAATATTAGAAATGACTTTTTTATTAGATTTAAATGAGAATTTGACTCTTAATACGACACAATAGAGAAAAATAATTCATGTATGGGATATAAATTTGATGTTGTTGTTGTTGTTCACTACCTAGGCGCTTGGAGGTTCCAATAGTTTTCAGAAATTATACTCTATACCCAAGTAGCATTCATGTTCTCATATTTTTTTGTTTACCAGTTATTTGATCTTACTAGTCTTTCTTTTTTTTCATGATTCTGTCAGTTGTAACTTTGTATCTTGAAAGAACTTTAGGGAACAGATGTGATGGATTCCAGGCAAGATAACATAGCCATTTTACCTCTTATATGACACAAAAAGCGGGAAAAAAAAGAGATGCACCTTTAGCACGATTGGCAATTTTGGAAAGAGGTGAAAGAGATTTAGATAAAAGATTCAAACTGCATCCTTAAGAGTAATAAAACTAAGGGGTTAATTTTTCCCTCCCCAAATAAATCCATACCTAAATGGGGCCCCCATTAGTAGCCATTAATTAATGCTTCAAAATATGTCTAAAGGTCTTTGCCAGTTTTTTTTAGATGTACGATGTTTTATTCAAATATAAGATGTTTTTTAAGACATTACACCTTTTATGAACATACAAGGGTTTATTAAATATGAGAATTTTGAGCTTTGTATAAGTTTTGTTGCTCAAATTTAAGTAAATATGAGATTTTAAAAAAGACAAAATGCTTTATTTGATATGATATTATTAACTAGGCATAAGATGTTAGATTTAGATATGAAATCATTCAAGATCGCCAATTTAAAACATCATGTGTGGGAATCTTTAAAGGCAAGGTGATGTGGCATCATTTTAAGGCTTCGTTTGGGACAGTTTTTTGCTGCTTTTTAAATCTGCATTTTAGTATAAAAATTAAAATATTTGTACTAAAAAACTGCTTTAAGGCAGCAAAAAAGCCATCCCAAACAAAGCCTAAGTGTACGTTTATTTAGGGAGTGTTGATTTTACATGTAAATTTATTTGTTTGAAGAAAAAAGTGTAGATTTATTTCTTTGACTCGACTTAAAGAAGTTGCTTCCCATTGCTCTAGTTTATTTGGAATGGAACAGAAATATGTGGTCTTCAATTAGACCATCTCGTGGACCTCAATTTAGTCTTTCATCATAGTTATCTGATAAATAAGGGTGTTATTTAAGTCAAAATATGGAATGTTATCAATTTTTGGGGGGTAAGATTTGAACTTCTGATCTCCTTTTTATAGCTCAAAGGCACAACACAACTTGGTTAAATGACTGAGCAGTCTCAATGTCATCAACTTGGATAGGGATGCTTCAGTTTTACTACTATGTAAATTAGGCTTTAGAAGAATTGCGCTTGGAGTGGAGTTATTGTCGATATGCTGAAATGAAGTGTTAGAACAAATGAATTTATTAATAGGCTGGATTTCGTTATTCCCTAAGTAATGCTACCATCATAGTAGGATTTTCTACAACTACAAGGACAAACAAGGTATATCCGAGCTTGCCTAACAATGAAATGAAAACTATAGCAAGGACAAACAAGATAACAAGTTATATCCGAGCTTGCCTAAAAAACTCCATAAATAGATTAAAGAAGAAGAAAAGCAATTTAGGAGTCTCTACAACTACAAAAATTCATTGGGGAAGAAGAGTGAGGAGTGCCACAGCTCAATTCATTTATTTGCATTCCTTAGTTCCCTAAGGGGGACTATTTACAAGATTCCTAATGATTCGTTGAACACGTAATAGCTACTTAATAAGCACTAACTACTTACAATTTACCAAGGCCCACAATGAACCATTAACTCAATCCTATCTATCCATTATAATTATCACCCTAACATTTATTCTATCAAAATTAGCCTGCTTCGCTGCTTACATGCTTTCTAAATATTGTAAAACTGAAGTTATCCTATTTTCAGTTTTAGCTCTAGCCCTATCAAATGATTGCCTGCACATTGTTCAACAACAACATCAAGCCTTAGTCCCATTACATAGGGTTGGCTACATGATACCTTTTTCGCCAATGTGTCATGTTAAAAGTCAAATTCTTATTTAAATCTAATAAAGAAATATCATTTCTAATATTTTTTAACCAAGTCTTTTTATGTCTACCTCTACCTTTCTTAACATAAGTCAAATCTAATACCTCAACATTCCTAACTGGGTCATCGGAAGGCCTCCGTTTAATGCGAACAAACCATCTAAGGCGACTCTCTCTAATCTTATCTTCCACTGGAGCTACTCCAACCTATTTACGTATATGCTCATTTCATATCCTATCTCTAAGGGTAAAGCCACTCATCCACCTAAGCATCCTCATCTCTCCAACACTTAACTTAGTTTTATGCTTGCATTCACATTGTTCTCTCTTTGAAAAATATTTTCCTACTTTACTCACCCCCCAATTCCAAAATTCTGGATTCATCAGTAGCTTTCTAAACTTAGGCTTTGTTTGGGACGGCTTTCTCTCTGTTTCTTAAAACAACTTTCTAATAAAAAAAATTTAATTTTTTACTAGAAAACTGCTTTAAGAAGCAGTAAAAAAGCCATCCCAAACGAAGCCTTAGGCTAGAATATCCAACTTCTTTATTGCATTTTAGCTGTTGAACACTGCACCTAAGATCTACTAATTCGTTTCACCCAGAAAGCTGGTGTCAAATTTTTTTTCCTCTTTTTTATTCAGGGTCGTAAGGAGTGCTGGACGCAGAGGGCACATTCTAAATCTGGGCCATGGAGTTCTTGTGAAAACTCCTGAAGAGGCTGTTGCACATTTCTTTGATGTAGTCAAAGGCTTGAGATATGACTCCCTTTTCAAAGAATCCATGGTGGAAAATCTGGAACCTGTCGCTTAAGGGAACTAGAGCTTCTGTGCATAAATCTTCCATTAGATGTTCAGGATTACAGGTCTGGATGCTTCTGGCTTGTATGTAGATGTCCGTTCTGTATTTTAGTAATTGTTATTTTTGTTTCTGGGATTTAAATTTCTTATCCCTTTGTGCAGTGCACTTAAACTGTACTAAATTTTGATTAATGTATGCATAATTGAATCTGGGATTTGAATGCAACGGCTATATTAGTACTGTGTTTTTATGTTTGTAAAAAATTGATACACAAAATGCCCTGGACAACACAGTCAGTTCGCCTACAAATGTTTATCATGCAGAAAAGATTGCTCTTAAACAAAGGCTCCTCCAATGGAACAATTATTACGTCCTCCGACCGGACGTAGAGGAACATCTGGTCGGAGGCAAATTCCCACCAAATACCGAGATGTACCGAGCAAATACCGAGCAATGTCAAACAATAACGAAGAATACCATCATTTGAAGACCCAATACCGAGTTATATCGGGCTTTACCGAGCAATTAAATACCGAGTTATACCAAAGTTGTACCGAGTTTTTCCCAGAAAAACTCGGTA